GAAAAGGTTCAGACAACCACCTAAAATCAAAAAACACCCAAATTAGATGAACCCATTAAGTTTCGGTGTATTAATCCTATCTAGAAATGTTAATGATAAAAAAAACCTCAAAAAAAATCTGATTTTACTGGCAATATTTACATATATCTTTCATACATAATTCCTCTGTTTTTCCTAAGAGCTTCCATATTGTAGAGAACCATAAAGCTAACGAAGCATTAAAAAATATGAGATAATTTCTCTTTCAAAGATTCGAAATTTCAGTTGAAAATTATTGGTGAAAGAATCGGATACAAGTGAAATTCGAATTATCAGCATTAGACTGAATGAGAAATGTTTTTGCTTCACTTGTTTTGGTATAATAGTTGTATGCATAAATTCACCAGCAAGGAAACATCCACCTCAAAGTACTCGGATTAAATTTCTTACGAAATATGCATGGAATTATTCCCGCCGTTATCAACATTCAGAAATTAAAAGTTCACACAATAAGTTCAATTTTTGAAGAACGCTGCACAAAAAAAATTTTATTTTAGAGTAACTTCTAAGACATCATACTCTTAAAACCAATATGCATTTTCCTTCCATGTCAATGCCAGGTTTGAATGCAAATTGACATGTTAAAAACTCATAAGAACTACGTATTACCGTTACTAACAATGTTCTTTTCACAATTTTTAATTTATAAACTAACATATTGTTTCTAATACAATTATTTAAGTTAAACATTAACGTTCATACTCGACAATTATCAAAATTCTGCCCAGGTTGGATATGTATTGTGCTGGAGATACATTTCAAAATAGAGGCGTTTATGTTTTGCAATGCAGGGACTTTCTTACAATCTCACTCAGAGTTTTCATAGATTACATCGAAATTGTATCGGAAAATGGATTTTACTTAACGAAGCAAAATCTCCGAATTCATCAATAATCGTTAAAGAGGATCTAAGCCATAATTAACACCCGCAAAAATCGATTCCATGACACAATGATGATTTCCAGAAAGGCAGACGAGTCAGATAGTGGAAAAAATGCCACTATTACTACAACTATGCAAGATCGTTCAACAAGTCTTATGGTGGGTGAATGTGATAAAAACAACGCGAACAGTGGAAATGACCATAGGTCGAAAAAATTAATCGAGAGAATTAGTATCTTACAAATTCAACTTCTTTTTCTAATTTAACTATTTTATCTGAGGGTACATCCATCTTTTATTTATACCCATAATCAGGTATCAAGTCAAGCATCGCAAATAAAAATACAAAAACATCTTGTCAACCATCTCCACAGATCATCAACGAGCAGGATAAGGTGCAAGGCTGGTTGCAAGAACTATCACGCTTACCAAAGATGCTGTGAGTGATATAGCTCGAACTTCTAAAAAATCTTCCCATAATCTATGTTTAGCTATTACTGATAAAAAATATGCATCTATGAAAAACAAATTGGTCGAATTAGTTATTCTTCTACTTTGCAAATATATTTCCAAAATAGTATTAATTTATTAACAACATGTACGTTGTCATTGTTCGTTTGATATACATGAATATAAAAAACGTATCTTGCTATTATATATTGATATTTAAGGAAAATACAAATTCATAATCTCGATGTAGTCGTGTAACATGTTGAACAAAATAAGCTTGATTACATGTTACTATAATTAACGTTAATATAAAAATGCACTAAATAGATCGAAGAATAGTCAAATTTAAAGTTGCTTAATTTAAATTCGAGCCAGTTACGTTCGTAGAAATAAGAAAAGCACTCATTTTTTAAGTTGAAAAAAACCTATTGAGGCCAACAAAATTATTAGAGATCATTACATTATGTCATCAATTTGATAATCTAACTGCAAGAGTAGTTGTATTGTTTCATTGCGGATATTGAATGCCATTATGTTCTCTAAAGGTAATAAACAGAATATTGAGGTTAGATTTAGAAATAATCTTGTCAATTATAATATTTTCCTTCACCGGCTAGGATTATGAAGAATACAACAAAAGCACCAATACACTATAGAGATAATGGACAGCTCCACTGTCCAGTGGTAGGCCATGTAGTCACGGAATTAAAGATAAATCAAAAAGATGGAAAGTTCGCAGGCCTTACTGTGGTTGAGAGCAGTGCCACCTCTGAAATGCCAGCATTAACCAGTGACCAGCATTCTATATTTTCTCAAGACCCACCACCGCTACAGGTTTCGCCAAATTCCAAGACAAGGGTTTTTCTGGAAGAATTTAACATGCTAATTTCGCGAATTATGAAGGCTAATGATTTGTCGTTGAACAATAATCTGTTGCAAAGCTTTTCAGATTTTCAATGGGTGTATGAAGGTTTGAAAGATAGAAAGAGTGATAATAATAAGGATGGAATCGAAAGTATGGAAATTTCTGACAATGAACTTCGGGAACCTAGGGAGATTGAAATAATTGAGATCTCTGATGATCATGATGAACTTCGAGAACCTAGGGAGATTGAAATAATTGAGATTTCTGATGATGAAGATGAAATTCAAAATCCTAGGGAGATTGAACTAATTGAGATTTCTGACGACGACGAATATGATAAACCAGCGCCACGATGCTTTAACCTTATGAATACCAGCATTCGTAACCTCATGTCTTTTCCTGGCGTTGAAATAGGTAAATCATCAATGTTATTCTTTGCTTCAATATTCTCATGGTTCAAATCTTCATTTATACATGCATAGAACGTTATCCCCTCTTGCCAAAGTTTAAAAATCTCCGTCTCAAAAAAGCAGCACTAACTCATCGTAAGATGAATTCAATAGTTGGATTCAATTATGAGCGCCTAGAACATCTAGGAGACCGGGTGCTCCAACATGTAGCAAATCAGATGGCTTTTGATAGAACCAAAAATCATCCCATGCTATGTGACCATGAACAAAAAATTATGAAACGTATCGAAGTTGCAATCAACTTCTTTGTCAATAACAAAACTCTGGCAGTGATAGGAAATATTCTGGACATTGCTACGTATGTGATTAAGGAAGTTGGAGGACCACAAAAATTATCCACCAAAGACACCGCTGATTATGTGGAAGCCTTGATCGGCGCTCTTTATGAAGATAATAATCGCAACTTTGATCCAATCAGAGAATGGTATGAACCAATAACCGGTTCTCTCTTAGATCGGATCTTGTACGCGACGATTTATAGGAATCCTAATGAAGCGGATGTCTTTAACTGGGTAACGGACATTTACTCTCACCTTAATAAAAAATTCAAAAATAAATGATATTAGAGTATTAGCTTTACTAGCAATATATTAGTGCAATAAATCTTATCGGAAACAATAACGTCATTTAGTGTCGTATCAATTGATCCAAGTCTGAATAATAATTTATTGTGCATTCTAGTAATTCAGTAACTTTTGAAATTTTGTGTTTATGATTTCTGTCTGTACATGCTAACTAAACTCAACAATAGCAGTTCCCTTGTCACTATCACCATCCAAATGATTGATGACGTCGATTTCTGTTTCCTTGGTTATGTGTCGCAATATTAAACTTGTCTACCAACTGTAATGTTAAATAAAAGATTTAGAAATACGTGTGCATCATTCAGTAATCCGAATATGATTTCAGAAATTAATGTACCTCATTTATTGAATTGGTTCCTTTTGTTATGGTGGCTAGATACGATGTAAGCAGAACATCATTGTATTCCTGGAAAATTGAAAAAAAGAAATACTTAATCTCAGGCTTTTTTAGAAGATTGATTTAATTATTTGAATTCATATCTAAAATAATTCTCACTGTCAAGAATTCTTCTCGGAATTCGGATCCTTCGAATGTCGGCATACGATTACATAAACTGGCTATTTGACGTAGTATATCATGATCAGCTTCCAATTCGCCTATAATATCGAATAACGATATAAATTATCGAGAATAAAAAAATGGGTTTCTAACTTAATCAAAAAAGTTTACCTTTCTTATAGTCCACCAAATATCGATGCAACATCTTAACTCTAGTATGCAACATTTTAATCGCGTTTCCTTGTGTAGTTAAGTGCGCAATCACTAAAAAAATTGATAAAAACAAATATTTATGAAGAATAACCAATATCCACACATAAATAATAGGCTAAAATAATTTAGTAAATCCCTTACATGATGACCCTTCAATACCGTCAGAACTCGAGGTACGCGCTACATGATCAACAGCAATACGTTCTGCCTCGCCCGTCTCGATTTTGTACTGTGCTTTAATGAAGAGCATATTTGCTTGGCCGTCAATAATATCGATGATTGACTCATAGACGGTGATTGGCAAGTTTTTTGAGGTGACGATTTCTTGTGGATTCATTTGTAAGAATAAGGGGCTTTCATTGTATTCTAGTAGCTGAGCTTGGACAAAAAAAAAGTTAATTACCTATTATGCAGCTGTATTTACAAAAATGAAACAAGGAATAACCTTTTTTTTACCTGTTTGTGTATTTCTATGTGATCTGGAGTAGGATACGGTCCTAATGTATACCAACCCAGGAAATCGAGTTGCGGAAAGACTTGACGAACTAAAAATGCAAAAAAGAGAAAAGGACGCGTAAACAAAAAAAAACATATAAAAATGCTAGTTTTTTAAATTCCTTACACTGTTCTTGTTTAGTTGTGAAATACTCTTTATCAATAAGAACGCGTCCGTTAATCACATTAAACGATAATTCGTATGAATTTGATATCTCAACGTCGCGTCCACTTTGTGAACCAAGAAGAGCACCGATTACTATTTATTTTATAGGTGCATTTTTATATAATAGAATGAATAATATAGTATAATTAGCTCGGAATCCCCAATAAAATCGGATCAATTAATATATAGCAAATAATTATGCGAATGCTAAAAACGAAAGATACAATACCCTGCGGATGCTGAATCTGCTGCTGCATCTTGATACGTGTATAATGATCGGATATATTTAGGAGAGTTAACGGATGTCTTAGAAAAAAAGGACAAGAAAATTATCAAATAACGATTCATATATCCAAAAACAAGAATTTGATCTTTTATTTCTTTTCCCATTATTTTGTTATGTCTCTATACGAATAATCATTAGAAACAATACCTACAACTCAACTGTCAACCCAGAATTATTGGCCGCAGTGGAAACGACTGTGCTCACGACCACTCCTTCACTACTACTGCCACCACTAATAACGTTGCTAGAGACATTTTCTTGCGCTATCGTTGAGGTAGTAGTAGTTGTTGTCGTTGTTGTGGGTCCTGCAGTTTCGACAGGAGGTGGTGGCAGAGGAGAGCTAGGCGGGTCAATTTCCATGCTTTCTTGTGTGCTCATTATTAAAGATTTTGTTCTTTATAATGAAAAGTCGACAACTTTTACAAGGTAATAGAAGAAGTTTAAGAACACTGTAATAAAAGAGCCAGTACAGAAAATAAACTCTCTTCAATCCAAAGAAAATTTCAAGAGTCGCAGCTACTAAGAAGTACACGCTTAAACTATAAAAAAATGAGAATCGGGCAGTAGTTCAATCTGTGCTCGGTTCTTGATCACATGCATTTCATAATCCAATAATAATGCGCGAATTTTTACTTATAGCGATAGAATTTGTCTTATATGATTTGCGCATTCTTATTGGTTTGAACTTTTCACGTGATTCTATCCAGCATATATCTAACAAAATACTAATCATTCATTAGATATATATGAGACCTCATCATTTTCTCGTAACCATTTATATTTTGCGTCATATTATGAGATAATTCATAATTTATGATACATTTTTACTTCAAGGATTGAAAAATAACGCGTCAAAATTTCAGCCACCCTTCCGGAAAAACATACCCTTCAATCCCAACATTTGCATTATCATTACCAGCTTTACGATTATTCACAACTTCAACAACCTCCTCGACATTATCCCACGTTAATTCAACACCATACAAATGTGGGAATAGCTCCGTCGAAGAAATACCA